CTCTCGAAACGCGCCGTGTGGCAACGGTTCGCACCATCTGTACGCCGATAAAATCTGCACCTGTTGTACGGACACTATCCTCTGGCGTCGTTGCACTTATTAGATCGGCGATCGTGTTCATTATGCCGCCACTCAGCCCGTTACGTTTTGCCGAGTTTCACGGAAGCCATGCGTTTCAATTCCATCATTCACGGACTTAGCCCGATTTTTCACCTACGATCATTGCACACTTCGCTGAAAAATCTTCTAATTCGAACTTGGAACAGTTGTAAGTGAATGCTTGACCGACTGATAGGATTCACAAGAATTTATAACGAAAATTTTATCGAATCTATTGTCTTTGAAAAAACATTCAGCTTTCCGATTGTAAAACTAAGATCATAGATACTACAGGCGAAAATGAGTAGTATAATTGGAATTTTAGTTTTATCCGGATAAAAAAAGCTTCGTAGATAAACATAATTGAAGAGTAATCTGAATCTGTTGGAACTTGTAATATTTATTGAGTTAAATGAAAAGTCTCTTGTAAATTTTTAGAAGGTTCGCATAATTAGTTATACAAGATTGAATTTAAATGAACATCTATCAAACTAAGAATGGTCCATTTTATTCAACAATTTCCTATTTTCAAGCTGTGCAGGTTCTCCGAAGTATTTCAAAAGAAGAAGCAAACAATTTGGATAACTCTGCTACAGTAACAGCTTTGATAAAGAATTACATTATAAAATGCAGTATGAATCTGTAAAAGTATTTCTAACCGGGGCGAGTGTTGGTTAATTAAAGGGACACGTCGAATTATTCGTTTTATTTGCTCTGGGAGTAGCGTAACCCCAAAGATAGGACTATCAAGATACCTTGGCAGAACAACGATTTAGAAACCCCGGTATCCATCCACCCTAGAGCCCTAATCCTGATAAGGATCGTTGCTAATTGTTGCGAATTGGTGAAGGTGGCGAACGAACCAGGGAGATTGGGCAACAGGTGTCATCTGATTGATCGCCGTAGCTCACACCCCCACGATTACCTAGCCCGCAAACACATCCACGACAGAAACGAAGGACTTAATGTCGATCCGTTACGCGCCGGCTCGTCCCGATGAGAAATCACTCGGCCATTGTACGTAGGTTACACAAAATCGAGGAGTTACCACTGGGACCACTAAATCCGGAAAAACGGGCAAATATACGTTGCAGCTAAAATATTTCGAACAGGTCCCCGATTTTCATTAGCCTGTCGAGCGGGGATAAACGAATGTATCAGTCTACGTAGCATTTGTCGATCGGTTTCAACTGCGACTCTCATTTATACGCCACTTTGCTGTTTATTTATTAATCGAGCTTGTCTAAAGATCAAAAAGTTACTCAGTTAAGTAATTCAGATGTGCTGAAAAATTTAATAACGTAACAGTAGTTTGCAGTTCTACCGACACTTTCGTTTACCAAAAATAATGTTACTTTCTCACGTGGAATACAATTCTATACAAAATATAATAACAGCAAAAGTTCTCATCAGGCCACGTCACCCGTAATTCGGGTGACGCTGATTCCTGTCTCTTATACACATCTAGATGTGTATAAGAGACAGTTACAAAGGATTTCCGAAAATATTTCGACAAATATTCTACAGGAGGTAATGAAACTATTGAATTCTTATAAAAATGGTTTATTAAAAAAATTATTCGCAGTGTATAACATTAAAACATTCTCTGCAAAGTTGAGGTTGATCAGGACAGCTTGGACCAAAAGTTGTTTGTTTTTTCAGATATGCTCGTGCCTCTGATCGAGATGTGTATAAGAGACAGTTACAAAGGATTTCCGAAAATATTTCGACAAATATTCTACAGGAGGTAATGAAACTATTGAATTCTTATAAAAATGGTTTATTAAAAAAATTATTCGCAGTGTATAACATTAAAACATTCTCTGCAAAGTTGAGGTTGATCAGGACAGCTTGGACCAAAAGTTGTTTGTTTTTTCAGATATGCTCGTGCCTCTGATCGAGATGTGTATAAGAGACAGTTACAAAGGATTTCCGAAAATATTTCGACAAATATTCTACAGGAGGTAATGAAACTATTGAATTCTTATAAAAATGGTTTATTAAAAAAATTATTCGCAGTGTATAACATTAAAACATTCTCTGCAAAGTTGAGGTTGATCAGGACAGCTTGGACCAAAAGTTGTTTGTTTTTTCAGATATGCTCGTGCCTCTGATCGAGATGTGTATAAGAGACAGTTACAAAGGATTTCCGAAAATATTTCGACAAATATTCTACAGGAGGTAATGAAACTATTGAATTCTTATAAAAATGGTTTATTAAAAAAATTATTCGCAGTGTATAACATTAAAACATTCTCTGCAAAGTTGAGGTTGATCAGGACAGCTTGGACCAAAAGTTGTTTGTTTTTTCAGATATGCTCGTGCCTCTGATCGAGATGTGTATAAGAGACAGTTACAAAGGATTTCCGAAAATATTTCGACAAATATTCTACAGGAGGTAATGAAACTATTGAATTCTTATAAAAATGGTTTATTAAAAAAATTATTCGCAGTGTATAACATTAAAACATTCTCTGCAAAGTTGAGGTTGATCAGGACAGCTTGGACCAAAAGTTGTTTGTTTTTTCAGATATGCTCGTGCCTCTGATCGAGATGTGTATAAGAGACAGTTACAAAGGATTTCCGAAAATATTTCGACAAATATTCTACAGGAGGTAATGAAACTATTGAATTCTTATAAAAATGGTTTATTAAAAAAATTATTCGCAGTGTATAACATTAAAACATTCTCTGCAAAGTTGAGGTTGATCAGGACAGCTTGGACCAAAAGTTGTTTGTTTTTTCAGATATGCTCGTGCCTCTGATCGAGATGTGTATAAGAGACAGTTACAAAGGATTTCCGAAAATATTTCGACAAATATTCTACAGGAGGTAATGAAACTATTGAATTCTTATAAAAATGGTTTATTAAAAAAATTATTCGCAGTGTATAACATTAAAACATTCTCTGCAAAGTTGAGGTTGATCAGGACAGCTTGGACCAAAAGTTGTTTGTTTTTTCAGATATGCTCGTGCCTCTGATCGGTCCATTTCGTATCTTTTATTTGAACTGTAGCTTCCTCGGTATCATCAACATTTCTTTCTTCTTCCATGGTCAATTCTCGTAAAATCTCGTCGATAGTATCTTCATAACATTCATTATCACTACGATTATATTTATCAGTATCCAAATCAGAATCTGACGATGTAATTTTCTTTATGCTTCTCCTTCCGGGCAATCCGATCTCCTTTCATCATTGAAAAAAAATAAGGGCAGAGATTTTAAGTTATACCATTCGGTACTCGGCAAAGATTCCAACTGTTCATGCAGGAACAGAAACAGATATGAATTAACAGCGCACGCTTCCTATAGCGGCACGGGTGGCCCGTAGGAGATTTTGTTGTAAATACGCGTGGCAGTCAACGTGTTAATATGACTGATATCGTATTTTTATAGGACTTCTGCACATGTACAACGTCTTCGACAAATAACGTTTACATTTAATGCACAGTTTTATGCTGTCGTTTCCATGTTGCAGACCCCAAACAAATTTGATACACTGAATACGTTATCAAAAAGATTAGTTTTTAAAACTAGGCGAATGAATCGTCTCCCAATCTTGACGGCATTCGAACAGTTAATGTCTGCAGCCGACAAATCTTCGTATTGCATTTAACCTGGATCGGTACATAATGAACTCGATCGCCCCTACCGCGAAGGCTTCACCAGACGGTTTACCGAGGCTACACTCGATAGCGGTACTGGAGAACTTCCGGTCCAGGGTGGAGCTCAGCATCTTGTAGGACTTCCTTGTAGTGTGGTAGGCAGCGACTCGCACGCGGCGAGATTAACAACGCCACGGTGAATATTCGCCAGGATAATTGATACCGACGTCGGACCGGCTGACCATTGAAACCACACGCACAATATATCATGGATAATAAGCGGTCGGTGCACGGCCGGATGGCGGCTTAAAGGACGAGGGGAGATGGACACGGAACTTCGTTATAGCTGCTTGATGTCCGCGGACTTCTTGATGTGATTATGATACGCGACCGTTCCGCAAAGTCACGTAGCTATTCTATATCGAAGGCGGAGGCGCACCGACCTGCCTGTCCGTAACAATGGCGAACGACACACGTTCCTCTGTGCACCGCACACTGTACCTACACGCGAACACTCCCGAAGAGTGCTGATGCGTACTCGAGTGCGTGCCCCGACCACCGTGGTACCAACGCGGTAAGTGCATTGGCCACGGGGAATGATTGTGCGCGAACTGACCCGCGTAATCGTAATTAATCATCCCGTAACCCCTAGCTCGAGGATCGGCGTCTGACAATCCCTAGTCATCCTCGGGAAAGTCCCGATCGAACAGGTTCCGAATTGGCTCTGATACCGAAAAGCGTGGACAACGCTTGCAGCATTCTTGTACAGACTATTGCAAGGGACATGTCCTTTCTTCGAACTGTAAATCGTGATGAAAGAATCTCTTATCCTTTGACGTAGAACGATACGATACGAATAGACGATTAAGGTTAGTCGAATAAGATTTACCTTCTCTCAATTTTTATAAACGAATCATCGATATTATTTGGCGTATTGCATATCAAAAGTTTGCACAATTACTCGGGTACGTAAGCTTAATTTTGATATTCGTTTCAATCAAGTCCAGAGTATCGACGATACGCCTTTCCTTAAAACGATATGTCCTCGTAAATTCCAAGTGTCAAACTGGACTCATCGACGACCGACGTATGGGATAGCAATCTCTAAATTTAACATTCATTTTGAAACGATACCGAATCATTTTTCACGGTTACATATAAGTAGGACGAAGCTGAAAATGAAATTGTAAGGCAAGGGCTTCGTAGTCGTAAAACATTCGTCTGTTAGCGATGCAACTGCGTCGTTTTTTAATGACCGGTAACTGTACACGCCGGATTGGATCTATTGTCCGCAGAATCGTGAGGAACAAAGCGGCGGAGAAGGCGAAACACGCGCATCAGCAACAGCAGGCGCAGCAGCAGCAAGGTCAGCAACAAGGTCAGCCAGGATCAGGTGGTTCCGTGTCGGTGATAGCCCATGCACCTGCAACGGCAGCGGGTCATCCGGCTGCGACCGCTCCCAACGCTTACAGCATCAGCGGCATCCTGGGAATCCCGGCTCACCATCAGGATCCGAATGGCAACAGCATCAAGAGAAAACGTACCGACGACGGTGAGTCATTGAATACTTCGTGTCGACGATCCCTCGACCCTCGTCGATACGGAACTCTTCCGCTACTCCGATCGCCGACGATGACTTTCTCGCGATCGACGGATTATCGGTCGATTTCGTCACGCGGAAATGGTCGCGGTTCTTCGGCGTCGCAACGCTACAGTGCAGAATCCTGTGCAGGATTCCGATCTACTGCCTCTAATACATTTTTAGGGATCACATAGGGTGGTGGAGCCGATTACCGCAGGGTGGCCAATTGCTGCGCCTTCGTATTTATCTAATAAGATATATTAAATCTTTTTATTCCTTTGTTTCGTTTATATCTTCGGATTGGGACGTAAGGGAGAGAAAAGAAAGAGCTGTTTCGCGGCACTTATGTAAGCCGAAAATCGGATCGGATCGGATCGGATCGGATCGCAGTGCATCGCGACTACATTTCACTCACAATAGTTAGCGGCGTTATATAAAGTGAGGCAAGAAACAAGATATCACTTGTTGGATCGAGCCGGTCACAGCCGAGTAAATCGGCACGAGTTTCGCCGGGCGGCAGAGGATCAGGAACAATGGAGGAGTTGAACTGTTTTGCGAGAAACCGAGGCGACGATGCTCCGGCCGGTCGTTCCCGCTGCATTTCTAAGATCTTATTGTGCTCGGCTCCGCGATTTTCGTCTTATTTAACGCACGACGCAAGAGGGCACGGCAGACGATTATCTTTGCCGACGAGTAAAGAACCGACGATCAATTCCCAACAATGGTGTTATTCGAGTACGATTTCAGTCGGTGGTTAGCTTATCGCGAACTATTACCGCAAGGGTAAACAGTTTCTAATCTGATTCAAAGGATACCTATCTGGCAGATCATCTTATTTGCCAGCAATCGAGCCGCCTCGTCCTCCTCTCGCCACGATCCGACCAAGATTAGCTACATACACGGCAAGGTTATCAGTCAAATGTCGGCCAGCACGTGCTGCGATTCATTCTGCTGTCATTGCGTGAATAACGCGGCCCGAAATATTCCCGACACGTGCCGCGTACACGTGACTGGAACTGCTCCAAGCCAGAAGAGAAACTTCGGTCCTAGGTCGACAACATCGAACCTGCGGCAATTGGCTATTAATTTTTCGACTTGCGAATAGGTCAGCAACGAAGGGCTCCTTTCACGATTCGACCGAGACGAATTTCTCCGCTCCCTTTAATTTTGTCCTAGACGCTGGGCCCCCAATCCGTAGCTAACCAGTGCTCTCCAAACTTTTGCATATAAATGCGGACAATACGGATGAATTCTCGATTTAGTGTTTAAACTTTTGGTAGACTGCGAATGTTTGCGTAAACAAATACGTATTTTAATGTAAAACAGATGAGATCAAGCCAGAAATATGTTTCACGATTTCAAGATTCTATAAACATTTCCTTCATTTTGCATTCAATTTTCAATTTATATACTACTGTGATCAAAAAGTAAGGTGAAATTGTCATTTAAAACTCCCGGACATTAGGAAGGCAGGCAATTGTTTTTTTCCTAGGTTGATAGGACTGTCTATAACAATTGCCAAGCGTCTGTTTGTTAAAAGGTTTAATTATCTCCGAGTTACACGTGTTTTAGTAAACGACCAAAAGTGAATTTTTCGATTTTTACAATGGGTGATTTTGTTGAGCAAAGAACTTGCATCAAATTTTGTTTGCGGAACGAATATTCTTGTGCGGACACGTTGAAAATTTTGCGGAAGGCCATTGGTGATCAAACTATGGCACAAAAAAACGTTTATAAGTGGTACAACGAGTTCAAAGCGGGCCGAGATCGCGTTGAAGACGAACAGCGCTCTGGACGACCATCAACGTCTACCGACGAGGGCCACGTCCAAAAAATCGAAGATTTGGTGCTTGAAAATCGTCGATTGACAATAAGAGACCTCGCTGATAGTGTTGGAATATCATTTGGTTCAGCCCAAACCATTTTGAAGGATGTTTTGTGTCTCAAACGCGTCAAGTCTCGATTGGTGCCATGTCATAC